CCTGGTACAGCGCCCAGCAGAAGCCTCAAACATAGTAGGCATTAAAACCAAAAACCAAAAACCAGAAGAAAGCCAAAAACCTGCAATAACCTAAGCTCAGGACAGAAAACTGACTTAAAAAGAACCATGGAGTTAAGTAATAAAAAGTACGGCCTCTTGAAAATTCTCTTCCTGCATACAAAGTCATGGGACTAAATAGTTTTCCTAGTTCAAGATATACCAAAAAGATATAGGAAAAGCATGGATTCAATTATGTGATTTGTATGCAAAGGGCGGAGAGGAGTTCGGCTTCATGTCGTATGTTCCCTGGACTGCTCAGCTCTATCTCCACGCAGCACGGCACACGACTTTTATATATGCGTCAAACAAAGACAAAACTCAAAGATCATAAGCTAAATGAATGTTTTACACTGGGGAAAAAAATTTTTTTAAGTGCTATAAACCCATTTAGGATAGTGCCCTAATTGAAATATTTGGTGTAACACATCATATAGCAGTCAAATGAGCCCTACTGTACTATGCTTAAATTATCTAATAGACTTAGGGAAAGTTCTTAATTAAAAAACAAAGCAAAGAAAACATCCATGAGAGAAGCCATGAAAAGCTTTTGAATGAAAAATAAAGTCCTTCTAAATCTTTTGTGTCATACATTTTAAAATATGACACAGTTTGAGGACAATTCATCAGTTTGTGATGAGTACGTCAATGAGTATGTTCTATTCCCAATGGCTCTTCAACATCTGCATTTCAGTCCTCCTCATTCCTTAGCCAATTTTCAAGAAGGACTAGAACCTAAAAGCCTGTAAAAACAGGTTACCTGAGATCTAGGAAGATATGTCTGAGTTTTCCCAATTACTCTTAGTAAGTAAATACAAGGAACCTGTTTCAATTTAAAAAGAGGCTAAAGAAATGGATGGTGTATATATATTTAAGGAAAATTCACAAAATATCAGCTTGATGGAACATGGAATAAATGTAAGTCCATGCATGTATTTAGCTGCATGGCTTCACATGTATATTATATAATTCGGTAGAAAACATGATTCACAACCTTGGAATATGTGATGCTGGAGCTAATACTTCTGAAACAGATTTAATATTTCTGGTAAAGTTTTAAAGAACGAGAGATGAGCTTTTGATTACCACAAGTCTGAACAATTTTGTTTGGCTGACAAATTCTTTAACCTCTGATACGTTCATTAGCAAAATACCAAGTAATTGAATCCATTGACATGAAAAACCACAGGCTGAAATCTGAAGTGCATCCATCAGGCTGAAGGAGTCTGAGTCAGCCGCAGCAGTAATAGTCAGTGAGGTCAGGTCAAAGAGGGTTAAACCAAGTCAGGATATAGCTAAAGGAATACATCAAACGCTGATTTAAAAGGGCAATTAATCTTAGACAGAAATGCTTCCTGGGGAATGAGATCTCAATCTTAAGAGCACACTACACGATGTAGCCGTAAAACTGTACGTATACAAGCTTCCAGAGCTTTCATCCTCTGATCACAAACAGAAGGAGAGTGCTGTTTGTCAGAGAGATACGAACCCATTTAAGAATACTTACATTAACTTCTTCCGGATCTACACTACTTAGCAGTATGTGTCTTAATGAATATATAATATCACAGCTAATATATACCATGTAGCTCTTTTCATGCACTATTTTTTTCCCAATCTTATATATTTTGCTCTTTCTGCCAGCAACAATTCTACAGCCTTGGCTCTTTAACAGTTTAACAAGGTTTTCAAAATATGTCCATGTTAATGCTGGTCATTTCTTATTGAGTACATCAGCCAAGCTTTTAATGAAAAACTCCCAATATTTAATCCGCTATAATTATAAAAATTATATTAAGTAACTATAAAATGCCACTCTAATAAATGATCCCAGGCCTCCTGGCAGTAAGATAAAAATATGTGATAACAATTACAAATTAGCCTTAGTCTCAATAGAGGAAAGAAGAGTAAAGCTGAAATAAACGTTGAAAACATAGACGCTCAATTGTTTTCCATCTGCTCTCATACAATGACCAGTTAGTCTAATGGGTGGAATGGGGCTTGTTCATATTTGTCCAATGTGAATCATAGAATTCAGAATGGTTTTACTTAATACAGTGTACATATTGCCAGACTGAGGTCCCATAGGACTTGTTTTAGTGAAGAGATATGTTTTAAATTGCCTATATGTTTGATAACTTTAAGGGAATTCTGGTTTTCAGTATTAATGGTGAACTAACATAATCAAGCTAACTAATTTAACTTATTGAGATTAAAATAAAGAACAATAGCCAAAGAGGGGAAATCACAAGTATATTCTGATGGTCCAATGTTTCATCATCTTTACTTATGGAGAATTAAAATAATAAATGTGTTATTTTTTTTTTTTTAGGAAAGATAAATGTCTATAGGCATTAACAGATCCAACAGCACCCGGATGAGTGAATGCTGCCCATGTGTTAGGACAAAACAAAGAAGTAGAGGGCGAGTCAACTGAATAAGGTAAATACAATGAACCATAGACATTCAGATTTTTAGAGCACAATGATAAACATTAGAAAAAGAATATATTTACCCACTTAAAACAGAACCTAACAGAATGTATTTCTGTCCAAACATGATCATAGGACATCTATGCCCTGCTTTCATATAGGAGACATCTGAAGATCTTCTGGGAATCCCCACTGTGAGTGAAGCTCTGTGGCTTCTCCCTAAGACTCACAGGCAACAAGACCCGGGAACAGTGAAGAGCACAGGGGCTGGGGGAGAGGCAGAAAAGGAGAAGCTCCCACAATAGCCAAGTGACTCAGTCCCACATCTATCAGGTTCAAAGTATGTCAGCAAAGTGACACGTGCACCTTCCAGAGCTAACTTAAGAATAGCAGAAACGTTAAATAAATATGTGATTTTATTTTTATTTTTTAAATATATGATCTTTTGTTCGGTCTCTCTCAAGGAAAAACTTTGCCTAGCAGGACTACCTGCTGCAGCTTACTTTTGGACCTCTTTGGGGCTTTTGGCTCAAACAGCCTGTACTATTAATATATCCTAATAAGTAGTTGATGATGATAACTAACCTCAGGGGAACAGTGCTTATTCCTTCTTTACTAAAAGGAATACTCTGGGCCTTTCCAAAGTTACTATCTGGAAAAGCACCAACACCAGAGACATAGGACTCAAACCACATTCTGATGGATTATCAGTTACAATATCGGTTTACAAGGAGCTGTCAGCAGACATTTATTTCTTCTGTGCATCAGAAAAATATCTCTGAAGAGCCGGTAATCAGTATCTCTGAATAGCTGGTAATCGGTCATTCAACAAAGATAAAAACAGAACAACAAAACTATTTCTTTATAATTTTACATTCTGAATTTCTTCTATGCATAGTGCAATTATTTGTGAAAATCCACTAACAAAAAAAAATATGTCACTTATAAAATCACAAGAAAATTATAAAAGCCCATTTCAAAGAAAACCTTGGCTTTTCCTCCCAACCTCCACTAAAAAAAAAAAAGACACAGGAAGGCACACACAGTAAGGACTCTCCAGAATAAGCGTGCATGTAGCACAGGTTATGCAAATTTCAGAGAACAGATATTCTTCAACCAAGTAAGAAGCCACTCTCGCGCCAGGGCCAGGTTAATCGCCTATGTATTGTGATATGGGTGCAGAAACCAGAAGAGAGGACGAAGGTGCACTAAGTCAGCCAAAGGGTGTCATTTCAGAGTGTGCAAGGATGCTTTTTATTTCCAAGCTTGATGGTCACACATAATCACTGTTTTACCAAATCCAACAAAAGCAATGACCAGAATTATATATAGGAATGAACACTAAAATCACAAAGCAAGCAGAATAAAAACAGTATAGGCCAGGGTCTCTAGAGTCATTACCAGGAAATACTATAAAAGAACATGAAATCACAGAATACAGCAAGCACTTGAAAATGCTACCTCAAACTGAATTAAAAGGCTAAAATAGAAGACGAGAACAAATGGTAGCCACAATGATGTGGAAACACCAAGGAGCCAGGAGCTGCAGACCTGAACTGTAACCTCGTTCTGCTGTTGGACACCACAGAAACCCTAACAAAATAGCTGAAAAAGGCAGAGACTGAACTAAATTAATTGCAAAGTTTCTGAAATCTCTAAAGGTGTCAAATACAAAGTTAACATGTAACCAACTGTCCATCGTGGCATGCATGTTGTTAGGACGCTCAACAGGCTTTAGTGGCGCTTACAGACTACGATGAACTAGAGATCAAGGGCGAGCAATCGACTCCTGAATACCAGCCAACAACAGTCCTATCCACAACCGCTCCTGGGATGCGCAATAGTTCACTGCACTAGGGATAGGATCACTATGAGTTCGGAGGTTGATTGGACAGTAGCTAACAACAAATTGATAAAAGCATTTTCAGTGTTTTTTAAAATACTACCAAGTATTCAAAGAGAGAGAGAGAGAGAGAGAAAGCTGTTCCCTGGATCAAAAAATTATTCTGAATTTTAGAACTACAAGCATACTTTCTACTTAAAAAAAAAAACAACTAAAAAACATGTAACAGAGCACATTCTGAAAACCTAACGAAAAGAAGTTGATAAATAAAACTTCATTAAAATGAAAAAAAGTTTATGCTTCAAAGAATTTTCAGATCATGTCTCAAAGTTAAACTCTGGAGCTTGAGACTGATTCATTGATTTAGAAGGTGAATGTGTGATTGTTTGCCATAATAGCATTTCGAAATGAGAGACCAATGGCACCAGAGTTGTAATTGGTAAGACAACACGTTTAAAATGGTGTATTTTGCCAAAGAGACCCAACTCTGAATTTTATTAATGTAAATCACGTATAAAATATAACTTCAATAGTAAATATTTTGCTTCAAAAGATTTTCCCTTTTAATCTTTCTGAAGTAACCCGGCAGTATGTTAGGATACGTTCATGTACTGGGCAGCAAAGGGTTTAAAGCCAAACTGAGAGAAAGGCTGCATGTTGGCGATTACCTTCAGGAGCAACTGCAGAAGGACACACTTCTCTGAGGAGGTCTCCCAGTGTATGCAGCTGTCCATCCGCAGCCACAGGACGAAACAGCTTCTGAATGCAAGGTCGTTCAGTAGTGGTCTACGAAAACAAATGAACAATCAAGTGTTTGTTGCTGATCATTGCAAATTAACAGATTAGAAATGTTAAAGTGGTACTGGGTGTCTCCTGAAGTAAAAACACCACCACAGATGTGGTTTATTGTCCAAAAATATGTCTAACAATAAGTTCATGCAAAGCTGTTCATGAGGAAACGGTCAGGAAAATTCAGACTGTTGTGGGACATGCAGCCCAAAGACAACTGGCCTAGGTGTCTCAAAGATGGCACAAGCATCAAAAGCCCTAGCAGTAAAGATTCTGGAAAGGACTGCAGCAGGGGAGGCAGTGTCATCAGACACACCATGGCACCCTTTACAGCCAAGACCCCCACAACCACGTGAAACAGACAGATGACAACCCTGTACCCTGCGCGTCAGGCAAAAAGATGGAGAATTAGCTCAAACACCAGTTCAAAAAGAAATGGGCTGAAAGTAATGAAAAAGAAGAGATTTGGAGGGAAGGTGAACCGACAGTCTGCCAGACTAACCTGTAAACAATGACAACTCCCAAACAGAGAGGGAACAAAAATTGTAGTGATAAAACTCCCATATAGAGGAGAATTAAAGGCCATTTCAAGATCTAACAGACTGCTTTGATTTTAAGAGGATGAATGTAAACGTTAGGGTACCCTCCTCACACACAAAATAAGTAATCTACTCACCAACATAAAGGAAATTCAACACACACAGAAGCAACAACTGATAAGAAAATCCATATGCAAAGAGAACTCAGCACCAAAAATCATGAGAAGCAAATGGTCAACACCATATAGAAAAGCATATAGAAATGAAAGCAATAGTCCAAATCTACTGATAATCACACCGTATGCACCTAAATGGACTCCATGTACTCACCAACACACAGAGTGGCAGAATGGAGAAAAACCACGCCCCATCAATACGCTGCCTAGCCTACAGGAGACAGTCTTAGACACGTAGCCATAAAGAAGTTAAAAACCCAAGGATGAGAAAAAAAGAAAACAACAGTATACCAAACAGTATCCAAAATAGAGTAGGAGTAATAATATTAATTTTGGATAAAACAGGTTTTAAGTCAAATTTTAGTAGAAGAGACAATGGGCATTATATATGATTAAAGTGTGCCTCTACCAAGACGATGCAAGAATATCTAAACACCCACGACAGAGTTAAATTCTAACAGAATTGAAAAGACTAATAACAGTTCTACATAGTAGCAGACTTAACAGTGCTTTCATAAATGGAATGGACTAGGAAAAAACTCAATTAAAAAACCTACTCAACAAAAAAACCAACCGCGGTGACCTCAGACATGTAGAACGCTCCATCTGTGGTGAAGTTACATTACCTGGAGTGGCTCTTCTATACATGCTCTGTAAGAGACCCACATGATTTGGTGTGAACAGGGTGTGTGAACACTAATAGACGAGACTGGGAGACCGATCAGTTTTGCCAATCCACTGGGTATATAAGTGAGCCACCTCAGAATTACAGAAAAAACCCAGTGATCGTCCAGAAAAGAGTCACCAGAGCACAAGGCAGGGGACCAAGGGATTGCATGGCCAAGAGGCCAAGGATCAGAGACATGCCTGCGGAGAGGTGTTGCACACAAAACATTTTGCATCCCTCATGTTTTGTTACCTGTTAGTATCCCTAATAAACCCCATAATCATGACTCTTGTCTATGAGTTCTCTGTGGCCACTGCAATGAATCAGCAAACCCAGAAGAGAAGTGGACTTCTGTGGGAGGGAAGGTAAATGTCACACAGGTGAAGGCTGGAGAGTGGAGGCTGGTGTGCAGTGGGGTCTCCGCCTTTGCGTAGCCAGAGGAAGTCAAACTTGGTACTCGTGCCACTGCCTCACCAACCAACAGCAGCGCAGCATACAAGAAAGGGCACCAACATTTGTAAGAAAGTTAATATGTGTGGATCATTTTCCCAAATAGATCATATTCTGGGCCACAAAACAAGCTTCAATAAATGCAAAAACAGTGACATAATACAAATTGTTTTTGCTAAGAAGCTATAAAATTAGAATGGGGAAAAATTATATGGAAATGGAATAGCATCTTACTTAAAAATTACTGGGTTGTGGAAAATTAAGAACAAACATTTTTAAATCTTAAGAGTAAAATGAAAATGAAGAAAAAACATGCCCAGACTTCTAGGACACAGCAGTGTTTACAGTCCTTGTAACCCAACAGCACTTTCCATGCTCCCTCCCTGTGCTTCCGGTTTCCACTGTCCCTTCCTATCCCTCTGGCCCCCTCAGCACTGTCCCCAGGCAAATGCTGCCCTTTTGATCTTATGTGATGCCTGTTCTAAGTAGGCCATTCCTCCCAGGTGTTATTACTGTCCACCTTATGTTGTTGTTCCCACTCAGAGCACCCCGATGGTCAACATAACGCAACATGCCTGGTCCTGTGCCATCCTCACAACTGGCATTAGGTTTGAGCCCACTGCTGAGTCACGGTGCCACTCCATCTTGTCGAGAGCCTTCCTCTTTGTCACTGCCCCTCTGCTTGAACAAGCACGATGCCCTTTTCCAGTTCCCCTTAAGGTCTAGCTACTATTTAGGGGGAAGTTGAGCCACAGGAGTGAGCTGAATTCCAGGCGTGAAGAGTGGCTGGAAGCCACAGTCTCCAGGGTTTCACCAGTTCCTATAAGACCAGTAAGTCTGATTTTAAAATTTTAAAAAACGACTTTGCGATGACCCTTCTGGTGTGTACCCTCCTTTCAGGGAGGCTGGCAGCAGTAGGGACTCAAAGAAATGGAGGTCCATCAGTTCTTTGGAGTAAGCCATCTTTGATTAAGATGTGAAAAGATCAATAGTTATACCTGAGCTGACCACTCACAAGTTTTTAAGACCTCAGTTGCTACTCACCAAAGATTTACTGTCTTTGTGGTCTATGTCATACCAACTCACCTTCATGTCCTCCCACGTAACTCATTCCTTCTTCATTTTGTTCTGGCTAAGAAGTTTTCTGAACTTTGCCCCCAGTATATATTACATACTTGGATATTTGCATCCTATAAAATACATATGGAGAAATATCCATTTATAGGTGTGGTCCATTTGCCTTCCCACACCCGTTTAGCTTGTATATCTGTGCATCCACTCATCTATATTACTACTATTACTGAATGGTTGAATGGCTGTATGTGCCACAGTATTTACTTTTATTGCCTTTAATTCTTGTGAAATGTTAAATGTCTGCAGTGTACGATTAAAGGACAATCTTTATTTTTAAAGAAATATGCACTCAAGTATTTTGTGGCACAGTGTCAATGAAGTCTGATTCTAATTTTGACACGGTTAAAAACCGTGTGTTTCTGTGTTTGTAGAGACATTAAATAAAGGGGGAAAATTATTAGTGAATCTAGGTGAAAGGAATGATACTTCAAATTTGAAACTTTTCAAACGAGTACACACAGCATCTTCTCCAGCATTCCCAGCACAATGGTATAATTTATTGCTTAAAATTCCATCAGTTCATGTGCTTTTAAATTAAGGTTTCTTTTCCTAAACTACGCACAAAGGACCACCCCAAAGAAGAGGGGGTTTGACCCACAGCATGTTATAGGGCAGAGGCTCACCAACAGCTGGGTGTGAAGACGGTGTTCTCAGCTAATAGAGCTATGATCTTACACCCCGTGTTTTTCTGTCGGCAATATGGAGCATTCCGTCCCCCTTATATGTGCTGTGGGGATCAAGGAAAAGCTGCACCAACCACAGGACAGGCGTCACAAAATGTTAAAGAAAAGGACAAGCGTCTTCCATCTGTCTCTTATGTCTATCTAATCTGCCATGTCAGATTAAGATGCTAAGTTTCTTATTGTTATGATTCCTGGAGTGAAAGCCGATAAAAAACTTGCAAGAACCAAATAATGCTTCATATTTCTCAGGAATGTGGTTTCAACTATAGAGTCACTAACGGTAACTTCTAAAAATTAATGTACATAACACTTTAATAAGCATATTCCAATTATATAGTTGAGCGTCTAAGACAAGTGTGAAAAAAAACTGGAGGAGATTAAGAATTTTGATAATTTTACATATTTTAATATAATTCAATTCACTACAAAAGCTGGACTCCCTCAAAGTATGCTCTCCCTCAATTTTAGAAGCACATACCGTATTTTATCCAAGAAGACCGGAGAACAGTTAATCATCAACTCTGCAGACAAGTGAGGAGGGTTCAGGAAAGAAACAGAGCAGAGGAGGTGGGCACAGTGCCGCCACCCACTTAGGGCTTTCTATCTTCTAGGCAATGAAGAGGCTTTTAAGACTTTTTAGCAAAGGAAGTGACGTGATGAAAGAGGCTTTTTCTGAGGCTAATGGAAAGCAGCACCGTGGACAATGACTTCCGTGAGAGGTGAGCTCAGGATGATTGGTGGGGGGCTGTCCGAGTAATGCACGACAACTGGGCCTGGGCCAGTGGACAAGGAGGGGCAGGCAGGACTGTACCCCAACTTAGACAGAAATGTACTCACATGCCAAGCCAAGGCTGTCAAGTCAATTCCAGCTCACAGCGCCCCACCAGGCAGAGCAGAAATGCCCCATGGGGTTTCGAAGGCTGTAAGTTTTATAGAAACCAACAGCCTGACAAAAGGGGGTACGCCCTACTCCTGGCCTTTTGGTTAGGAGCCTAGTGCTTAACAATGGGGCCTCCAGGGCTCATTTTGCCTCTCACAGTCCCACCTAAAAACAGCTAAGAATTTCAGCAGGATCAAAGAACTCTTTTCCAAGAAGTTGGGTTATCTCATGCTTTTTAAGACATGCTCTCCATCCTTTCTAATAGGCCTTTGAGGTAACTAAAACTACCTGAAAACAATATGCTAAATAGGAAAGGCCAAATAGTTAACATATTAATAGAGATTCGCCTCTACCCCTACCTACTACTCCTAAAAAACAGGCTATTACTTTTCAGTAACTCTTTTGTGTCCACTCTCCCATTGCCAGGCAGTACTTAAAAAGTTCTAAACTTCAGCAGCTTTTAATAAC